GCCGATGGTGTCGCTGCCGAAGCGCAAGGGCATCAAGAAGACCATCATGGAGGAGCGCACGGAGCGGCCGCCCAAGCAGTAGACCCCTCCCCCCCTCCCCCCCGCTGTCCGTCCGACCGCTTGCGTCCTGCCCCGCGCGGGGAGGCTCTCCCAGCGCGTGTTGTTTTGAGCGACCCGTTTAACCGCTTGCGCGGCTTTGTGTGTGGCCCGCAGGTATAATCGTATACACTTAGTAGAGACCAGGCCTTCCGATCGGCGCAAAACGGCGCTGCGATTTCTTTTCTTCGCGATGTCTGCCCAGCCGCGCCGCTCGTCGCGCCGCTCGTGCCGCCTCGCCACCGCCGCCACCGCCGCGCCCTCGCCGAGCACGCCGCCGCCCACCCGCCTCCTCGACCTCCCCACGGAGCTCCTCGTGCGCACCTTCTCTCACTGCGACAGCCCCGTCGACATCGCTCGCGTCGCGGCCGTCTCGCTCCTCTTCCACGCCTCGCTTGCGGCGGAGGGCATCCGCTTGTGGGCGCAAGAGCGCGGCTTCGAGCTACCGGCGCAGCCGGAGGACAAGAGCTGCGCCGTGCGGTGGCTGTGCTATTCGGCGCTGCTGCGCGAGTCCAACCCGCCGGCGAGGGCGGCGGCAGGCCAACGGCACAGCCTCTTCATCGCCGGCGAGGGGCGGCTCTCGTCGTGCGGCTGCGCGCCGGGTCACGTCCCAGGCCTCCTTGGCCACGGCGAGGGCGTGACGCGGCTCAACACGCCAACCCGGCTCCCGTCGACGCTGGGCGGCGAGCGCGCCGTGAGCGTGTCGGCTGGAGCTGAGTACAACCTCGCCCTCGCCGCCGACGGCGCCGTCTGGAGCTGGGGCGGTGGATACCTTGGCAGGCTGGGCCACGGCGACACGCACGACCAGCTGCTGCCGAAGCAGGTCGAAGCGTTGGCGGGGCGGCGCGTCATCGCTGTGTCGGCTCAGTTCATGCACAGCCTCGCCATCACCGCCGACGGCTCCGTCTGGAGCTGGGGCAATGGAGGCGACGGCCGGCTGGGCCACGGTGACCAGCAGCACCAGTTGCTGCCCACGAAGGTCGAGGCTTTGGCGGGCCAGCGCGTCGTCGCTGCGTCGGCTGGAAACATGCACAGTCTCGCCATCACCGCCGACGGTGGTGTCTGGAGCTGGGGCTGGGGACACTATGGCCAGTTGGGCCACGGCGACGAGCAGGACCAGCTGCTGCCGAGGAAGGTCGAGGCCTTTGCGGCGCGGCGCGTCGTCGCTGTCTCGGCTGGGACCCACCACAGCCTGGCCCTCACCGCCGACGGCGCCGTCTGGAGCTTTGGCTGCGGTTGGAACGGCCGGTTGGGCCACGGCGACACGCAGCACCAGCTGCTGCCCAAGAAGATCGAGGCCTTTGCTGACCAGCGCGTCGTCGCTGCGTCGGCTGGACGCTTCCACAGCCTCGCCATCACGGCCGACGGAGCTGTCTGGAGCTGGGGCAATGGAGGCTACGGCAAGTTGGGCCACGGCGACGAGCAGGACCAGCTGCTGCCGATGAAGATCGAGGCCTTTGCCGGCCAGCGCGTCGTCGCTGTGTCGGCGGGAGGGGCGCACAGCCTCGCCCTCGCCACCGACGGCGCCGTGTTTACCTGGGGCCATGGCGAGGACGCCTGCCTAGGCCACGGGGAGGACCTGTCCAACCAGCTGCTGCCCAAGAAGGTCGAGGCGTGGGCGCTGGGGCAATGGGGTATCGAACTCCGGCCTGTTTGATTACCTGGCAAGGGCGAGGGCGGGTGAGCGGGCCGGGCCCATAAGAAGACTTTCATGCTGCCGCCTCGAACAACCCCCCCGGCGTCCGTGCTGCTTTATTTCTCGTGTTTTCGGTCGGTCAAAAGGAAAATAAAGAAAGAAAATCGCCTAAATTTCTTCATTCTCCGGCCTGTTTGATTACCTGGCAAGGGCGAGGGCGGAGGCGGGTGAGCGGGCCGGGCCCATAAGCACTTGGAGCACTTGGAGTGCAGTCGGTAACCTCACATCCAGGGCCGGTGAGCTGAGAAGCGCATCCAGCGGGCCGGATGATCGGCATCGGGCTACGGGCTAGAGAGCCCTGACCCCTAGCTAGGGGGGGGCGCGCATTCGCAGGGCAAGGGCCTTAAAGTAAACACGGGTCTCCGAGGGTTGGTTCTGCGCTTTGGGTGTCCCCTAGCGGCGGAACGCCCCCTCTACTCGGAGCTAGTAAACACCAGACACTAGACACGAGCATGATGTGCGAAATTTACCGCCGCACCCATGACAGGCGGCTAGCGTGGGGAAGCGCTCCGTCCCGAGCGACTCGAGAGGGATCCCCACCGTTTGCCAGTGGCGCGTCACTTGTATCGCCCGCTGTTTGGCCACCCGGGCCACCATCCTCAGGGCGCCTCCCTCCATCCCGAGCAGCGCACCCGCCATCTCCGTCTCCGCCATTCCCATCAGTCGCAGGAATCGGGGGAGGGCGGCCGGCACCGCTCCGTCGGGAACGGCCTCCTCCGGGACCGCTCCAGCAAGCTCGTGTAACGCTTGCAGCGTTGCTGCCGCATCTTTCGCCTCCTCCCCGTCCCCTACAACCTTGTCCGACAAGGGCAGGAATGACATGGAGTCGGGCTGCCAGCGCACCACCCTCCATGGTGCCATGAAGTCCACCACCCCGCAGCACGTCTGCGCAGTCCACGCTAGCGTCCGCCGGTCCCCGCCCCCATACCACGTGGGGGCCCATCTGGTCGGCGCACCTGACCCCCGCCCCCCCGTCCCACCCGCCACGAATGCCAGCCGCCGTAGCTCCTCGGTGCCCACCGTCCTGGCCACGTCGTCCCTCCTTGGCGCGAAGAGGAGCACTCGGACGTCTCGAGGGTTCATTAGTCGGGCGTGACGGCGAAGCACTCCCGGTTGGCGGCACCTCGGTGGGCGGAGGGGGTCCTCTTCACCCCCTGCCCAAGCGTGGGTGTTCGCGTAGGTTGACTCCGTAGCGTTGGTCCATCCCGCCGCGTGGCCAAAGGCGATCGTCCCGGCCGGGAAGAAGAGCACCACGTCCACTGAACAACATAGCTGAAAAAACCCGCATAGTCGGTTGAAATCCGCAAAGTCTCTTTTTCACCCGTTTCGCACCGGCCCCGCCGTGTGTGCAGGCTGTCCGCGACGTGTGACAGTGACTCCAACGTCGTCGGGTAGCCTGACGCACCGCCCGGTGTCACCACTCCATCCCGCTTCAACCCGGGCGCGCGTGCAGCTGACGAGAGCCAGTCCAAACCGCCGATAGTCGGCTGTACTGCCGCGCCTTGGCCTAGGCGCACAAACCCGGACGGCGCATTGCCAGCTCTCGCTTCGGAAGGTTGTCGGGTGAACATAAGAGGCCCGTTATGATGGACTGCGAGTGGGCATAATCTGCATTGCTCTCAAGCTAGGCGTGGGTCATGCTGTCGGATTGGCGCCTGAGCCGTGAGCGGGACGCGCACACGCGCTGCCCCGACATGGGCCCCCGCTCCGCGTCTCGCCTCGCGGGTCTCCGGCGCTCGCTTCGCAACGGCCAGGCGCGCTTTGAGCGGGCGAGAAAGGTGGTACTCCCGCCCTTCTCGTGCGCCGATTCTAGAGGAGCCCTACCCGGCCTGCACGCACGCGCACACTACTGGTTGATCTCGGGTGCCCCATGTGCGCACGCCGTTCGCCTTATGTGGCCTGTCTAGTGGATACGGCCCAGGCAGTAGTGTGTGCATTGAGCTCTCCACAGGCTAGCCCTTCACTTGGGCCCGACCCACGCTGTGTGGGCTCTCCTGCTTGCACACCGGTGTGTGCACACTTTTACGTGCGAAGTAAAAGTGTGCGGCTCCCTGTGCTGCTTCAAACGCGGCCCTCTCCGCCCGGCGTGACAGGGCCACTGGTGTGGCTCGATCTTAGGATGCTGCGCTGGCCTCTGGCACACCCAGCAGCGCTCGCGTCGCAGCTACCACCGAGTGGCACTCCGAACAGCATCGCACACCAGCATGGGATCCCGGCGGGATCCGGTAAAAGTGTGCACCCTCCCATAGGCTGTGTGTAGCAATGGCATACTGCGAGAGCACAGCTGCCCGTGCGCGTCGAGCTGCGCCGCGGCTGCAGCGGCATCGAAGCGCCAGAAGGGCCATTTGAGGACCACAGAGGCTCGCCACCAGCGCACAGTTGATGACGCCCACGGGGATGGCATCGCGCACACCCGCACTACGCTCCGGTGGCGCAGAGGGAGCTGGGCATGGCCTTTGCTGCTGCGCCTGCTGCGCCATCACCGCCACTGCCGAGGCTATGCTGCGCGTTGACACTCGCGCTGCCGATTGCTGCCAATCGCGCGGCGTGAGAACAGCATCGCGGCCGCGCGAGCCGGCTTGTGCATATTGCACGATTGCACCGTGGCAGCGGGCTGCGTGCCAGCACCGCCGCGAGGCGTTTGAGCACCGCGTGACGACGCGCGCAGGGCCCTCCCACCCTAGGGCAACCTTATCGGCCATCGGCGGCCCGGGATGAAGCATGATCGTGTCGCTGTCACGCCGACGACAAGCCTCGCACACACACCCTAATCGGGCAGCGATCAACTTTCGGATCTCGTCGGAGGACCCACGCTTTCACAGTCAGAGTCACGCAGCGCTCTTTTGATTTCGCCTTTTCCTTTTCAGCAACCCAAACACACTACGACGGGCCGCCCAACACACTACGACGGGAAACCGTTGCATCCAGCAGCAGCGAGCGAGTGGCACACGCACACAGACCCCACGCACACTATGCGCGCCAAGCGCACCACCACCGACACACAGAAACGGATACCCCGCCGCACGGCTGAGTCGACGGGCAGTAGGCAGTGCGCCTCGACACCAGGCTGCGAGTGGCGCCGGCTCACATTCGCCACGGCCACCGCGCGCCCGCTCCACACACAACTTGCTGTCCGCTGGACCCGGCGCGCTGGCACACCGCATGCGACACCGGCACACTGGCACACCGGCATCGTTCCTGCCGCACGCGCTGATCCGGCGAGCGCGCGAGCGCGGCACGGCGCGTCTGGACAACGGGCGCAAGCCGTAGCGCGCCGGCTCTGCCGGATGCACACCAATCACTTTGCAGCTGCAGCGCCGCGCCTCGAGAGGTGTTCAGTCCCGAACTGCGCGCCGAATACGGTGACGACGCGGGTCTGATGACCACCGGCCAGCACCCGTCCGGGCCGTGACTGCCTCCTCCCATCAGCAGCGCCGCGCGCCGCTCGTGCCGCGCGAGAAGGTGTTCAGTCAACGGCGGGCGCCTCGCCAGCACTGCCTGGCGCACCCGTCAAAATGTGCGCACACCTCGCCATCTCCGCCGCCTCCGAGGCCACCGGCGCCATGAGTGGTGTCTGCGCCGTCGCCGTGGGGGCCTTGGCCGGCTTGATTGGCCTCAAAGTCAGCTTTGCCGCCCCGCCGCGAGCGCCGAAAAAGCGTCAACCGCGCAACGGCGTGACGGAGAGAGAGCGACCGCGCTGCTTCTGCGAGCCGCTAGGAGCCGAGCCGATGTCTATCCGAAGCCGTCTGCCGCGCGCGTCGGTCGCGAAGGGCCCGCCGGGGATCAGTTTCCACTCCTCTGAGGCTGCCGATCACCTAAACTGCACCCCGTGTGTCGACGGGGCACTGGTGTGGAACCGGGCTCAAAAAAGCGCATTTGACCGTGCGGGTTTCTTTAGCTAGGTTGTTACTGCCACCTCGGTGTTACTCAGGTTTTGGTAGGCCCGGCAGGATTTCTGTTCCCCTTCCCGCGGCGCCTCCTGCATAACCATGACCACCCGTCCGCCCGCCTCCGCTGTGGTCACCGCCTTCTTGTACACCCTCGCGAGGGCTCCTCGCCCATGTTCGTTGACCGTAACCAAGACGTTATGCGGCCACGGCTGTAGCTCCCATCCGGACGAGGTGACGTCATCCACCTCCACCCCCCACTCCCCTCCCGACCACGCCCCCCATATGCAGCGAGGAGGGCAGAGTTGCGCCGAAAGGCGGGAGAAGCCGCGAGAGCAAGGGACCGGCAGGCGGCGGCGGCGTCGCAGAACGAGACAGAGGAGAGCGACGCGACAGAGGAAGAAGCGACAAGGGAGAGCACGACGAGAAGGGGGAGACCGCGAGGTGGCACGAAGGTTGCAGCGAGAATCGGAGAGAGACTGCGAAGAGAGATAGGAAGAGGCGGACGCCCAAGGGTGGGCGACGGCTAGTGCACCACACCCCTCTCCTTAAAATCCCTGTGTGGTGGCGGCGTGCCGTCCTCCCATCCCTCCCTTGGGTTGTCCGTTTTCTTTCTTTCTAGTACAGGTGTTCGCGCGCTGCTGGTGGTTGCGCTGAGCCGTGCCGGCCGCAAAGTCAAGAGTGTATGGCGCTGTTGGGGCTCGACACGGCACAGAAGCGCGGCATCTTTGCCGGGTACGTGCTGCTGTGGGTCTCCTCCCACCTCCTCGTCTACTCAAGCCGGCGAGCCGGAGCGCCGCCGTACAACCCTGCCTCAGTGGTGCTGCTGACCGAAGTGCGGCCGTCGTTTACCCCGTCGCTTCTTTCGCCTGCACCTGCGCTCGTCTCAACACGCACTGCTATTCCGACGCTCACGCCAACGCCACCAACTTCAGCGCTACTGCTGTGGGCTCTGTTGCCGCCGCCGCTTCCACCACCCTGCCACCGCGACCTCGTCGTCACCACCGCCCTGCTCCCAGTTCTCCGCTCCCGCCGGCCCGCACGCACAGGCGGTCAAGCTCGCCCTCGCGCTCTCGCTCTACTTTGCCTACGACGCCGGTGCCCCCACCACCACCGGCGGCGGCTGCGCCAAGCTCGCCGAGCACGTCTCCCTAGCGCCAGAGCTGCCACTCAAGTCCGCGGCACTTCTGAGATGGCTCCACCACCCCTCGCCGCCGTTCCGCACACCACTCCGTTCCGCCGCCTGCCGAAGCTCCGCCTCCACTTGCTCGCACCGCCGGCGGTTTTGTCCACGACAGTCCCGCCGACACACCCGCTGTCACGCCCACTCCAACGCACCTGCCCTCTCCAACGCACCCGCCCTCTCCAACGCACCTGCCCACTCCAACGCACCTGCCGACACGTCCGCAGGTACATCATGCCCGCGCTGCTGTACTGCGGGTGCAGCAGGCCTCGTGCACGCCAGACCCCAAGTCCAACACGAGCACGCACCCCGACCCACTCTTCCTAGGTACAACAACCTCGTGTACGCCAATCTGGCGGTCTTCGACCCGGGCAGACGACGACGACCACGGCTGTTGATTTTACGGACGACACGTCCATGACACGTCCCTGACATGCTCCAAAGGCACGTACAACGTCCTGCTGCAGCTCCGCCTCGTCCTCACCGGCCTCCTCTACCAGGCAGCCCTTCCTAGACACTCCCTAGACACTTCCTAGACACTGCTTCACCGGCTTCTTGTTCCAGGAGGCCCTCGAGTGGGTCCTGTTTCTATGACCGGTCCCTGCTGCTCAGCCCACGCCGAGGTCCACCTGTATGCTCCCATCTCTCCTCCCCTATCCCTGCTGGCATTCCGCGCCTGGCCGCCGCCCCCCGCCGCCTCCCGCCGCCCCCCTCCGCCCTCCGACCCCGCTTCTCCTCCTCTCCCCCCCTCCTCGGGTCAGGCCCTCTTTGCCCGCCGGCTCAACCGCAACCAGTGGCTCGCCCTCGTCGCAATCACCCTCGGCTGTGTCGTCAAAGAGGCGCCTTCGCTCTCTCCTCTTCGCGGCCGCTGCGGTGGCACACGGTGTGAACAGCGTCTCCTCACTGCTGTGAGCAGGCAGACAAGCTCTCCGCGGGGGGGGGCAAGGGCCCGCTGCGCGCATCGCTCGGCGCCCGGATGCAGCCGCCGGCTGGCCCTGCCGCGAAACGCCGTTGACCACGCCCCCCCGAGCCGCGAGTGCAGGCGCGTGGATGCTGCTGCTCGTGCAGATGCTCTGCTCCGTGCTGGCGGGTGCGTGGCATTGCGTCGCGAGACTCTGTCTCCCGAGAGTCTGCTCGATTCTCTGATCCATCTCTTCGTCCTTCAGCTAGAGCTCCCGAGAGCCCCGTGGCCCTCGAGCTCCGAGAGGCCTCCGACAGGCCCCGCGGAGACCCCCCCTGTCCGCCCCGCTTGCCGAGAGAGTCGGTAGAGCGCAGATGACAATCTGCGCCGCTTGCCGAGAGAGTCTGCGGGCGGAGCGTGCGGTGGTAGGCCTCTACAACGAGCTTCTGCTCAAGGACCGCGCCGGCGTGCCCACCCACCTGCAGAACGCATACATGCGCGCCGCCGCCGCCGCGCTCTGCAACTGGCGCGTGTGCGCGCCGCGTCTCTTGACAGCGTCTGGCCGCGAGCAGGTACGCCGCGTCGGTGCTCTGCAACCTGCTTGTGCTCCTCTTCGAGGGGAGGCTCGGCGAGGCGGTGGCGCGCGACAACCTCTCCGCCCTCTGCACGCCGACCCTGCTCGCCGTCGTCGCGATCATGTCGTCGGTCGGCGGCGTGATGGCCACTCCTCCTGCGACACCCGGAGCATTCGCCGAGCCCCTTTGGAGCGCCCTCCCGCAGGTTGGCGTCGTGACGGGCTTCTTCCTGCGCCACCTCGACTCGGTGCTCAAGGCCGTCGCCTCCGCCCTCGAGGTCGTGTTCTCCATGCTGCTCTCGTCGCTCCTCTTCGCGGTGCCGCTCACGCCGCAGGCAGCCGGCGCCGCGCTCCTCGTCGGCGGCGGCGTCGCGCTGTACGCCCGCCCGCCCAGCCAGCCCGCGGAAGCCACCACGGCACAAGGCTACGCCTACTCGCCCGTGGCGCGCGACGACGAGTTAGTTGCGCTGTCCGAGGAGGGGCCGCCCAACGTACCGCCGCCGCCGCCGGCCAGGCGCCCGACGCAGCCCGGCGGCACTAAATCGCGGAGTGATTTGCTCCGGCTGATCCAGGACGCCGCCGACAGCGCGAGCAGTAGAAGAGAGTAGCGTGTGCGCCGGGGAGTGGTTCTCGCGGGTAACGATTTTTTGTATCTGAGATCTATCCCAGATGGATAAAAGCTGTGTGACTGACGGGGAACAGGTGCTAGGTGGCAGGTCGTCTAAGAATTCTTTTTTTGCGTGTCAGAATGGAGATGAGAGACGCCCTGTGACCTTGCCCTTTGCGAGCGAGGCGGAGCGTGCGGACTACCCGCACGCGCAGCTACGGTCGCGAAAACGCCCTGGAGGCTGGAGGTTGCGACCCAGGCGGCGCGCAATCCCCCCGGGTCCAACATTAAGCGCAGGTCGCCTACTGGGTGCCTCCCCCCCCCCCCCTCCCCCCCCCCCCCCCTGTCTCCCTGATCGTCCTTCCAAGATCCTGCTCGTGCAGGTGGGGACCTGCTTCGCGTTTTTGCGTTTTATTTATTTCCCACACAAGGATGGGTCGCGAGAGAGAGATTTTTAGCAATACCAAATGCAGCCGCTCGTGGTGTTGTCGAACTGCCCGTCGGCTCAGGCCCAGGCAATGCCGATGGCGACCGCGACGGCGGCGCCGATGCCGGTGGCGACGGCGACGATGCCGGTGGCGACGGCGACGATGCCGGTGGCGATGGCGACGCCGATGACGAGCATGCCGACGGCGACCCCTTTGGCTGCCGCACCGATGGCTGCCGCACCGCAGCCTATGACCATGGCACCACAACCTACAGCCGATGATGGTGACGACCGCACCATCATCGGCCACACCAGCATCGGCATCCCCATCATCGCCGCCGCCCGCGCGCCCCAGCGCACAGTGCCGATCGGCTCCATCCCTCCTGGTGGGACTCAACCGCTGTGGTCGGCGCAGGAGCTCGCCGGCACGTGGATCAACTGCTGTCTACCTTATGGGTGTTTCATTTCTCATTATACGGCGGTTAGCGAGGACAAGATGAAGCAAATCGAATGCTGCGCGGTCTTTTTTGTATTCCCTTTTCCTCTGTGCAAGGAAGTATTGATGAGGGTCCGCCAGGGCGACACCAACAGGTTTCGAGGGAAGTTTGATTATGATGAGAATGGGGGTGTCGGCCACGAGAGGTTGGTCGCGATGTTGCAGCGTGGCGCTTCGGTCGACCTCAAGAACAGCAGAGGCCACACCGCGCTGATGCTCACCGCCGGCCAAGGCCACGAGCGGGTGGTCGAGCTGCTGATTCGGCACGGCGCGGAGGTCAACCTGCAGGACAACCGCGGCGGCACCGCGCTGATGCACGCCGCCATCAAAGGCCACGAGCGGGTGGTCGACTTGCTGATACGGCGTGGCGCGGACATCAACCTGCAGAACAGCGACGGCTTCACCGCGCTGATGGGCGCCGCCGGCCGCAGCCACCCCGCCGTCGTGCTCCGCCTGCTGCAGGCGGGCGCCGATGCGAGGCTGTGTATGGCGGATGGAGACACGGCACATGTTTTGCCAAGGCGAAGGGCAGCGCCGAGTGCGTGCGCGCCCTCGAGAAGCATTTGACAGCCGAGGTGGCGGCCGAGAAGGAGGCAGGGAGGGAGGAAGAGCGAGCGGTAGGAGCGGGCGGCGGCGGAGGCGGAAGCGGCGCGGCACGCCAAGGAGCTGCTGGCGGAGGTCGAGGCGGAGAAGCGCAGCAAGGGCAATGGCAAGAAGAAGAAGAAGAAGGGCGGCGGGAGCGGCGGCGCTGGGCCGTCGCAGGAGTCCGAGGCGCCGGCAGAGGCAGCCGCAGCCACGCCCGCCCCATTGGACAGGGAGGGGCTGCTCAAGCTTCTCGAGACGCTCACCGAGGAGCGGATTCGGTTCGGCATCACGCCGGAGACGTCGGTCGAGGGGCTGGCCGAGGCGTTGGGAGAGGCGGCGGAGGTGAGCGAGGAGGAGGCAGCGGAGGCGGGCGGGGAGGCGGGTGAGGAGGAGACAGCAGAGGCGGGCGAGGAGGAGGACGAGGAGGCGGCAGCGGAGGCGGCAGCGGAGGCGGCAGCGGAGGAAGAGGCAGCCGCGGCCGCAGAGGAGGAGGCGGCCATTGCGGCGGCGGCGGCGGCGGCGGCGGCGGCGGCGGAGGCAGCGTCGGCGGCAGCGTCGGCGGCAGAGGCGGCACTCGCCGCTGCCAAGGCGAGGCGCCGGCGAGGGCCAAGGCCTAGCAGTATAGCTTGAGCACTTGGGCGCACGGGATAGGGCCTCGATAGGGCCGATTCGGCATGGTACGGGCCGCTGAGGCGACGGCACTGCTCTAAGCTCGATCTGCTCGAATCTGCCGACAGCGCTGTCCGATTGTACAGTGTCAGGGGACAGGGCCGTCGGACACACCGCCCCGGCCCCCGCCCCGCTCCCACTGATCACTGACACTGTTTTGGGATTGGGTGGCTTGTTACGACGTGACCCAGAGGTTGTGTGTAGTGTGTTCTTGAAAAAGTCACGTACAGATTTTGATTTTGTCTCGCCCGATGTGCAAAAAGCCCCGCGCCACGCGCCAGTGAGAGAGTGCGAGACCCCGCTGTGCGCTGATCCCGCGCGCAATGCTACCAGTGAGGCTTCCAGCGAGAGCCTGCACCCCCTGAGGCATCTCCCTAGAGGAAGGGACGACTGCCACCGCCCCCCCCCTTCCCGGCCCCGAGACGGCTCAGGTGGCGTTGGCGGGCTCGACGGCCGAGAGCCGGGTGAAGTGAAGCGGGCTGAGGAGCGGCCCCGGTGCGAGGCCCATCAGATGGCCTTGGCGAGCTCGGCGGCACGGCCAATGTACGAGGCGGGCGTGAGGGCGGCCAGCCGCTCCTTTGCCTCCTGCGCGGGGGTGCAAAGGATCACGTCGTCGCGCGCCCGCGTGGCGGTTCTGCCGTGGCCCCTCTTGCGCCGCCACGTCTCGGCAAAATCTCGGCAAAATCTCGGCCAAATCTCGGCCAAATCTCGGCGCCTGCGGGATGTCGAGCGTCGCCACGAAGGCGCGCATCCCCTCCGCGTCGATCTTGCGGCCGCGCGTCAGCTCCTACGCAGCACCAGGTGATCCCGCTGACGAGGCCGGCCAATCTCTCGCTGCCGCGGGTGTGCGGTGCGGTGCGGTGCGGGCTTGGGCGGGCAGGGGTGCGGGTGCGGGGTGCGGGTGCGGGGGCCGGGGGCCGGGGGCCGGGGGGCGGGGAGCAGGGGAGCCCCCTCAGAAGTATCTGTTTCGAGGTCGACACGGGCTCTTCCGAGTCGGATTTCGTGTTGAGGTCTTCTTCATGGTGGGGCGGGCGGCGCGCGCGGGCGGGGCGGAGTGTGCGGCAGAGTGCGGGGGCGGAGTGTGCGGCAGAGTGCGGGGGCGGAGTGGGCGGCAGAGTGCGGGGGCGGAGTGTGCGGCAGGGGAGTGTGAGTGTGCGGCAGAGGAGTGTGCGCGAGCGCCTTGAGCTTCTCGTACGGCGACTCGACGCCGTAGAGCCGCATCACCTATTCACAGCTAGAGGTGTGAAGAGACGCTGTTCACACCGACTCGACGCCGTAGAGCCGCATCACCGTTTGCACCGGCTCGGCTAGCACCTCCCAGTTGTTGTCCAGGTCGGCGGCGAGGGCGGCCTCGTTCACCTCGACCTGTCCGAGATATGGGCGAGATGCGAGCAGTGTGCGGGCGAGATGTGGGCGAGATATGGGCGATGTGCGGTCGAGATGCGGGGGGGGGGGGTATGGGCGAGATACGGGCGAGGTAGGGGCGTGTGTGCGCCTTTCCCAGTCCCTTAAGCAGCGCCGCGTATGCGATGGAGCAGTGGCCTGCGTGGTGGGCAACCCGGCATCAGGGCGGGAGGACGGCACGCTGTCAGAGCACCGCGTGAATGCGAGGGAGGCGAGGACAGCGAATACAGCGGAATACGGCCGAATGCGGGCGAAGACGCGTCCTCTCGAGCGCTGGCTGGCGTACAAGAACACGTATTCCGCTGCTAGGGAGCCTTCACCGAGCCCGACGCCGACGTCGCAAGATATGGGGAGATGCGGGGGGGAGATACGGGGGGGAGATGTCCCGCTTCTAGGAGCCGCTGCCGAGCCCGACGCCGAGGTTGCGCAGGACGGTCGAGTCGGTCAGGTCGCGCTGGGCGCGCGAGATGGGCAACTTTGCGCCTAGGCTCACTCACGGCACGGCCTGGTCGGCGGAGGGAGGGGCGTGCCCGCGGCAGGCGAGCTGGGGGCCTAGTGGTGCAGGGGGTACAAGGGGGTACAAGGGTACGGGGGGAGGGTGTACGGCGAGCTGGGGGCCTAGTGGTGCAGGGGGGTACGAGGGGGTACCTGGGGGTACAAGGGTACGGGGGGAGGGTGTACGGCGAGCTGGGGCCTAGTGGTGCAGGG